AGAGAGAGAGAGAGAGAGAGAGAGAGAGAAAGCTCCCCTAGACTCATAGGAAGTAGCAATATTAGGAGGTGTGTCCTTGTTGGAGGAAGTGGGCCACTAGGGGTTGGGCTTTGAGATTTCAGATACTCAAGCCAGGCCCAGTGTCTCATTCTTTCTGCTGCCTGATTGATGATCCGTATTTAGAATTCTCAACTCCTCCAACACCATGTTTACCTGTATGCTGCCATGCTTCCCGCCATGATGACAATGAACTAAAACTGTAAACCGGCCCCAACTAAATGCTTTCCTTTATAAGTGTTGCCATGGTCATGGTGTCTCTCCACCATGGGTTTCTATAGGCAATAGAAACCCTAACTGAGACAGGCTGTATTTTTGTGTGGAAATAGCGCACTTTACAGCAGTAGCATGTAAATTCTTTGTCTAAGATCAGGTGTCACTATGTAACCCTGGATGACCTGGAACTCACTATTAAGACAGGGCTGGCCTCAAGCTCACAGAGACCTACCTGCCTCTGACCCTCAAGTGCTGAGATTAAAGGCATGAAAAGAAAAATGTTTTGAAAAGTTGACTTACCAGAGAAAGGGAGCTCAGACACTGAGCACAGCAGTTGGCCTCCAGGAGCTGTTTACTCTTTTCTTTGTCAACTATTTTTCTACGGAAAATGGTAGGCGGAAATAAAAGATGTCAATGTTGCCATTCATTTATACAAAAAAAGCTAGCCACTGCTGAGCATGGAGGCCCCTGTTTGTAGTCCCAGCCTCTCAGGGGCCAAAGCAGAATTACTTGATCCTTGGTCTCAAAAGCCACAGTGCTGGAATTACACTGTGTTCTGGTGATGTATGTTTGTCCCCATGCTTGCATGGCAATCATTTTTTCCCCCAGTTGTTTCTTTTTTGTTATTTTGCTTGGTTTTTGTTTGCTTCTTTAGCAATTTTTAAACTTAGAGTGGTTTGAAATTTTACAGCAAGCTTTTAGGCTATGTAGAGTGTTCCCACATGCCTTTCCCAGGTTTCCCCTGCCAACTCTCTCTTTTTTTTTTTTTTTTTTTTTTTTTTTTTTTTTTTTTTTTTTTAACTCTCTCTTTTTTTTTTTTTTTTTTCCCGAGACAGTGTTTCTCTGTGGCTTTGGAGGCTGTCCTGGAACTAGCTATTGTAGACCAGGCTGGTCTCGAACTCACAGAGATCTGCCTGCCTCTGTGGTGGCTTGAATGAGATGTTCCCCGGAGTCTGGGGGCATTTGAACACTTGGTTCCCAGTTAGGGCACTTTTTGGGAAGTGTGGCCTTGCTGAGAGAAGTATGTCACTGTGGGTGGGCTCTGAGGTTTCAAAGTCTCAGGCCATTCTCAGTTTGCTCTCCCTGCTTTCTTGTGGTTCAGGATTGAGCTGTCAGCTCCTGTTCCAGCCACCATGCCTTACCTCTGCCATCATGACTCTTACCCTCTAGAACCACAATCCCAAATAAACTCTTCTGTGAGTAGCCTGGTCATGGTATTTCATCACAGCAGTGGAAAAGTAACTAATACAGTAGGTTTGACAAAACGAAGCCAGCACACGTACATCCTGGTACCTAAACTCTAGGTGCTTGCTTCGGAGTTCCCCAGTTTCTCCTCCCTCTCTGCCGAGGCCCCACACATTGCATTTGCTGTCCTCCCTCTTTAGACCTGTCCTCTGTGTCAGGTTCCCAGACTTTCATTGTATTTGGTGACATGAAAATGTTTGAGTCAGTGATTTCAGAGGATTTGCCTGATGCATCTCTCTGATTAGACTGGGGTCTGGGCTTTAAGAGAGAGGATCACAGAGGGGACCCCCCCCCCCCGCGTCTCAGAACATGCCTTATCGTTGGGGAAGCTAACTTAAGCAAGTACCTGGCCCAGACAGTGGTAACTAGACCTCACTGGAGACTTGCTTTTCTCCAGAGAATCCTCTTTGGAAGCAGTCATGGACCAGGGTGCACATGCCCTCAAGGGAGACATGTCAAGCCCCAGCCCTTAGCAAGCTGTGCATGGCTAGACATGTGTCTATTAGTTCTAGCACTCAAGAAGTAGAGGCAAGAGGATCAGGAGTTCAGGACAATCTTTAGTTATATGCCAAGTTCAAGGCCAGTCTGGCCCATAAGGCCTGTATCAATAAAAAGCAAAAAAACTGATACATGCCTTTGTTGAGCACTGTGAAGGCTGATGCAGGAGGATCCTGAATTTGAGGACAGATAAAGCTACATAAGAAACCCTATGGGGGCGGGGATTTCTACCCTGTAAAGGTTTCTTTTTTGTTGTTTGTTTGTTTGTTTTTGAGACAGGGTTTCTCTGTATTGCTTTGGAGCCTGTCTTGGAACTTGCTCTGTAGACCAGACTGGCCTCAAACTCACAGAGATCCATCTGCCTTTGCCTCCCAAGTGCTGGGATTAAAGGTGTGCACCACCAACGCCCGGCTAGGTTTCTCTTACAGAAGAACAGTCCCCTGTATTATTCATTTCTTATCTTTTTGAGCTGGGACAAAAGTGGTAGAGTGAGTCTCCCAGGTAAGGACAAAGGCCGTACCTAAGTTCTCTCTTCTCTTGCATGGTCCTTGGCTGGTTCCTAATGGCTTTGATTCTGTCTCTGGATGTCATGGGAATCAGGGATGAAATTAGTTTTTGTCCTGCAGAAGAAAATGAACAGAACTTTGTTTCTTATTTCTTTAACACAGTCTTAACATTTTAAAAGATAACACTGGAGTGAGACTTGGCCATGCATGCCTATAATCTCAGAACTGGGAATTGGAGGCAGAAGGATAGAAAGTTCAGTGCTAGCCTGAGCTCCATAGTGAGTTCAAGGTTGCTCTGGGTGTGGTGGTTTGAGTGAGATCTTCCCCATAGTTTTAGGCATTTGAATATTTGTTCTCCAGTTGGTGGCACTGTTTGGGGAGGCTTAGGAGGTGTGGTCTTATTGGAGGAAGTGCACCTCGGAGGTAGAGGGGCAGGCTTTGAGAGCTTAAAGATTTGAACCATTCTCAGTTAGGACTCTCTACTTCCTGCTCTCAGTTCAAGATGTGAGCACTCAAGCTTCCTGCTCCAGTCACCATCCCTATTGCTTACTGCCATGCTTCCCTAGGATAGTTGACTCTTAATCCCATGGAAGCGTAATCCCAAACAAAAGCCTTCTTCTCTAAATTGCCTTTGTCATGTTGTTTCACAGGAACAAAAAAGTAATATATCGCATTACCTGCTGAGAGTCTGTCTTACTCACCCCCATAATAAGTTAATCAATCAATCAGCTATGGTATTGAAACTAGAGCATGTTTTATTTGGAGACAGAATTAGCTTTTCATTGGTCAGAAGCATGTTCCTAGGCTAAGTGATAAGAGCAGAGCAATTGCCACGGCAACACAAAGGTCCAAGGTTACAGAGGTGAGAGTTTGTGACCAGAGGGCAGGGGGTACAGTGAGATAAGCTTTGAGACACAGGTCTTTAGTTTATAGACTGGCAAGCAAAGAATATGCATGCTTTTCTTAGTAACCTTGGTAGGCATCTGTGACTCTGACCTTGTGCAAGCTGTAAAGTTTTCTTTTTACAAAAAGCATTTAGTCTAGTTTGAACTTGCTCTGAGGTGAAAGTGAGCTAATTGTATGTAGTAATCTGAGCAAGAGAATAAAGCAGGCTGTTAAGAGTCCACAGTCCTTGTGGGACAAATAAATCCAGCTATGAAACATGTCCCTGTATATATTCTATATATCAAAATTATATAGCTAAATGAAAAGTCATCTTCCAGACCATCCCCATATGTGACCAGTAAACAATTAACACACTGTAGTGCTGTGGGAAGAATCCCAGAGCTGTAATGTGAAGAGCTCTTCACACAAGAAGTCTGCCCTGAGAACAACTAGAAGGCAGTATTCCTTATCAGCTTTCTAGATAAGGTTGATGAGATGTGTATCTTTGGCGACAATATTCCTGATAGCCTTGTTAAATTAGACCTATATCTCCATGAGATATGCATATCTGATAGACTGACCCCTGAAGCATGTGCTGAAATCTTAACTCATAGTTCTGTGGTTGTAGCACTGAACCACAACCCTAGGCCTACATCTGGAGTGTTATGGGGTAAAAGAGAAATGGCATTTCTGTTGGCCTCAGGAGCTTAGAGACTGGAAGGTCTCAGCTAAGATCTAGGCTCAGGATAAACTTAGCTGGAAACATCTTGTCTTGTCCCATGAAACCATGGAGGCAATGACTTTTCCTGAGCCCCAGCCTCCTCATTAAGCCTGCCTCAAAGACAAAGAGTGTGAGAAAAATATGACTGAATTCAATGCCTACCAAAAGTAAACTTGCTGGCTAAACTTCAATCACAAGAGACAAGGTTGTCTGGAAAAGAAGCTCTCAGTAGGTAGGTCTCAAAGAGACACTTCTCTTCATTCCCAGCATTGATTAGATTACTGACTGTGCCCCTTGAAAATTACTTGATACCTTAAAAAAATTTTTTTTTGAAGTCTGGAGAGATGGCTTAGTGGGTAAAGTGCTTGCCACAGGAGTATGAATACTGGACTTTGGATCCTCAGGACCCATGTAAAAAGTTGGGCACTGTACCACACACTCATCATGCCAGAAATGGGGAGTCAGACACAGGAGGAGCTCTGGGGTTGACTAGCCAGCCAGTCTAGCAGACTCGAGAGGCTGAAGATTCAGGGAAAGACCCTGTCACAAAACATATTGTGCAGAGGCCAGCACAAGATGACTCCAGCAGGTGAAAGCCCTTGCTGTGAAAGCCTAGTGTCCTGAGTTCAATGCCCAGAACCTGGGCCCCAGAAAAAAGTAGGAGAGAATTGACTCCACAAAGCTGTCTGCAGACCTCCACACATGACTATGATAAGTGCACATGCACATGTACACACACACACACACACACACCCCGTACCATTTGAACAACAATAACCTGTAGACAACTTTAAATCTTTTGTAACTTTTCCTAAGCATTCCATACCTTGAACAGTTTCATGGAAAGTACAGGTTTCATCCATGCCCAGGCACTCTGGGCTATGATGGATTTGAGAAATTGATTCATTCAGAGATGAAAACCTCAACAACCTGTTGTGCCTCCCGTCATTTCCATTGCTGAAGATCTGACAGTCTGTGATGTCCGTCATTGATGAAGAAACCATGCTGAAGGTGGGGTTTGCTGTTGACTTTCTTAGAAAAATCTGACTTGAGGCTAGATGTCTTTGGACCCCAGATGGAACATTCTCCACTTCTATGATGATTTCATTCACTTGGTCATCTGACAGCATTTCTGGTCTCTGATGAGTATTGTTCTTCACAGGATTGGCCATCAAAGACCTCATAAGCACTCACACTGGCATGGTTGGGCCCGCCAGGGAAGAGTGGTGACATTGGAGAAAGGATGCCCCATTCACAAGGAGCTCCACATAAATTACAACATGACTCCTGCCCATCCCCTGAGGGGGCACCTCAGGAGGAGACATGTTTCCCTACAGAGAATTCTGCCTTGGTAGCTAAGTGAGACATTATAAACAGAACTCTTCATTAAAGACAATGGGGTTCTAGAAACAGAATGTGGGGAGTCTTCTAAATGACAGGACAAGGTTTTCTTTTCAATTTGACATTCGTCATTTGAAATGCACATTTTGGGGCATCAAGACGGCTCAGTGGGTAAAGGTGCTTGCTGCCAAGCCTAATGACCTTTGCTTAATCCCCACACAGTGGAAGGACAGAACTGATTTCTGCAGGTTTTCCCTTGATTTCCACACAGGAAACTGAAAACATTAATAACTAAACATATTTCTATATAAAACCAGGTGAGTTTATAACATTATCATTGTCTCTTGACCACCTCAGGTCTGCCTTGAAATATCCATTCTCCTCATGCCAGCAGAAGCCTCAGCTCCTGTTTAGACACAGTGCTCTGCTAAGATTCTCCCAGCTTCCCTTGCAGCTAAGGGTAGCCATGTGACCCAGTATTAGCCAATGAGAAAGGAGTTTTTTGGAATGAGCTTTAAAAAGAGTTGGTTTGCTTGGCTTTTGTTCTTCACCACCCTTCTGCCTTTATGCCATCTTATTTTGAAAAAATTAGGTCGATATTTATCTGCCATGGATGATGAAGAGAGGGAGGGAAACTCAGCCCTTGAGAGCATCATGGGATAGCTTCTTTAATGAACTGCTCTCCCCACTCTTTCTGTTTCTTGAGAAAAATAAATCCTTTGTCACTAAGCCATTGTTCTGCCACAGTGCCAGAAATGTGAACAGAATTACTGTAGAGACATGATTTACAAGTTACCTGGACCAATTTGCTTATTTTCCAGTGGGCCAAGGAGAGGGTGGTGGAATATTATTTTCATGTGTGTAACTGTTGTTTATGCTGCATTTGTTTAACTCTGTGAAGCTGTGTTATTGTGCCTGTCTAAAACACATGGTGGTCCTAATATAGAGCTAAATGGACAATAGTGAGGCAGGAGCAAGGACAAGCAGGACTGGCAGGCAGAGAGTATAAAAAGAAGGAGAAATGAAGAAGGAGGGAAGTAAGAGAACAAGGAGAGGAAGATGCCAGGGGCCAGCCACCCAGCCAGCCACAGAGTAAGCAGGAAAGTAAGATATACAGATGAAACATAAAAGCCCAGAGAAAAAGGTAGACAGGTTCATTTAAGATAAGAAAAGCTTGCTAAAAACAAGCCAAGCTAAGGCAGGGCATTCATAACTAAGAATAAGCCTCTGTGTTTATTTGGGAGCTGGGTGGTGGGCCCCTCAAAAACAAAAACAAAAACAACAACAAAAAAATTAATAAGAGCCACAAGATTGCTCAACAGCAGAGAGATGAAGTGACACACTTGGCCCATGGACTTCTATTTAATATCAGGACTGGACAAGAACTTCCCACAGCAGTAAGTAGCATCACCCAGACCTGCCTTAAACGAGGGAAGATATTTTAGAGTATGCTATTCTGTTTTCACAACTACCCATTTCATAGCTAAGAAAACTGAGGCTCAACTGGGAGGATTTTGCCTAAGGCTAAGAAGCCAGAAAGCAATGGTGCTAAAAGTCCAAGCAAGGTGGTCTGAACCCAGAAAAGGAGAGCTTGAGTGTTTCAGCTTTGTCCCCTCCTGAAATGGGTGCTAATGTGTATTCATTCATCACTCATTTGTAAATTAGCAAGTATTTACTAGTACTTGCTCTGTGCTAGAAAGGTCTTGGGGAATTACCAGAATCCATGAGTAACACATTATTAACTAATTGATATGTGATTTGAAAATCAGAAAACAGGGAGATTAAAAGCTGTGTCTTCTATTTCTTCACCCACCTCTGCCTCTGAGGGCCTTTTCTCCCATCCTCATGCTGTCTGAACAGGGCCGTCCAATGATGGCCATGACATGCTTTCCCCAATAGTTAAAGCCAATCCCTACTTCAATGAGACCATCCTGTCAGGCTGCAGCATCTGTCTCTTATAAAAGTTACACTCTAGCAGCTGGGCGGTGATGGTGCACACCTTTAATCCCAGTACTCGGGAGGCAAAGGCAGGCAGATCTCTGTGACTTTGAGGCTAGCCTACAAATTGAGTTCCATGACAGGCTCCAAAGCTACACAGAGAAACCCTGTCTCAGAAAGGAAGGAAGGAAGAAAGAAAGAAAGAAAGAAAGAAAGAAAGAAAGAAAGAAAGAAAGAAAGGAATGAAGGAAGGAAGGAAGGAAGGAAGGAAGGAAGGAAGGAAGGAAAAGAAAAAAGTTACATTCTACCTTGGGAAAGTTCTGGAAGGATGAGTCTGGAGGATATGGTGCTGGCAAAGAGAAATAGCTTTAAGTCATGGCAAGGGGCAGGGGAGTCCCTCAGTTTGCACTATGGTGAACCCATCTGTTTGGTTCTCTCTCTTTCTCTCTCTCTCTCCCTCCCTCTCTCTCTCTCACTCTCTTTCAAGACAAGGTTTCTCTGTGTAGATTTGTAGACCAGGTTTCTCTCTCTCTCCCTCCCTCTCTCTCACTCACTCTCTTTCAAGACAAGGTTTCTCTGTGTAGATTTGTAGACCAGGTTGTCCTCCAACTCACAGAGATCTGTCTGCCTCTGCCTCCCAAATTCTGGGATTAAAGGCATGTGCCACCACTGCCCAGCTTGTATGGTTCTCTTTATTTATAGGCTTGCCTTTGCGATGGCATTCCCTGGTGTCTCTCTGATGGCTTCCAGGGGGCTTATAGGTCTCTGTCTCCAAGTAAAACCTTCATTACCACACATGAGGACATTTAGAGTTTCCTGATACTTCAAAGCCTTCAATCTTTCAGGAGAGATGTGCATGTGCATTTGCAGATAGGCTTGAAGACTTGAGTTCAAATCCCAATATCCATGTAAATGCTAGTATACTTGCCTCCTGTAATTCTAGATCTTGGGAGGCAGAGACAGGTTCTAGAAATCCCCAAAACTCTGGATGACGCTAGGGAAGATGCCTGAGCAATTAAAGTGGCTTTCTGTCAAGCCTGATCCTAAGTTCAGTCCTGAGTACCAACAATGGAAAAGGAGAGAACTAACTCCCAAAAATTTGTCCTTTGACCTCCATACGTGTACGTGTACACACACACACACACACACACACACACACACACACACACACACACAGTAAATAAACAAAAACATGATTGTTTCTTTTTATGATAAGATTTCAATATGTTGCCCTGGCTAGCCTGGAATTTGCTATGTAGACTAAACATGATTGTTTCTTTTTATGACAAGATTTCAATATGTTGCCCTGGCTAGCCTGGAATTTGCTATGTAGACTAGGCTAGCTTTGAACTCACAGATATACACCTGCTTCTGCCTCCAAAGTACTGGGATTAAAGCTATGTGCAGAAATATCTGATCAAAATGTAATTTTAAGGGAGTGGAGAGCTTTGCCTCAATATGTAAATTGAAGCAATAGAGAAAGATGTCAACACCTGACTTCCATAAGTGTATGTATGCATGCATGCTCACACGAGTGTACCCAATACACACCACATTCAAACACTCATACACATATTCACGTCATATACACAAACATATACAAATAAGAAAAAGAAAGCAAAGCTATCTGTCTCTCACTGGACTATACTTTCACATTTCAACATTATTTAAGCTGCCTTATTATTTCACAGCTTTTTAATCAGTGGACTTTGTCCTCAGGAACACAAACATTGGCCATTGAAACACATGGCCCTGTCTTGTCACATATGATAAAATTATTGGTTGGAGTGTGGGCATATGATCCTCAAATCACCAGACAGACAGGGGGAAGAAAAGCCTTCCTTCTAAAGGATGACTATGCTGAGGTACATCTGTGGGTCTCATGGCCTGACCCTGATGTCTATGAAGGTCAAGTTTAAAGAAAGGCGGTGCCAAGCAAAGGTGAGAGATGGATGATTAATAAGTCCAATAGACCCAGCCTTGGCTTCAAGCTCTAAGGTCATGTTTCCTATTATATTCAGCAAATTGATGAAACCTTCCCCCAATAAGCCAATAAATTCCATGCTAGTACCCATCTGACCAGGGTTTCCATTATAACCAGAAGATTTTTTTTGTGGTTTTTTGTTTTTTTGTTTTATTTTGTTTTTTGAGACAGGGTTTCTCTGTGGCTTTTGGAGGCTGTCCTGGAACTAGCTCTTGTAGACCAGGCTGGTCTCGAACTTACAGAGATACCCGCCTGCCTCTTCTTCCCAACTGCTGGGACTAAAGGCATGCGCCACCACTGCCTGGCCCAGAAGATTTTTTTAAGGTGTGCATAAGTGTGTATGTATGCACCTGAGTGTGCATGGGAGTACTCACTGGTGTGAATGGGCATGTGTGGAGGCCAGAGGTAGATGCCAGGATGTCTTTCCTCTGTCACTCTCCATCTTATTTTTTGAGACATGGTCTCTCAACTGTACCTGAAGTTTGTCATTTTATCTAGATTGGTTACCCAGTGCGCTCCCAGCATCCACCTGTCTCTGTCCAACAGCACAACACTGAGGCACTTGACATTATAGCCAGCTTTTTTTTTTTTTTTGGTGAGTTCTTGGGATTCAAACTCAAGTCCTCACTGCTGGGCCATCTTCCTAGCCCAAACTAGAAGATTCCTAATGAAGATAGCTTGATACTTAGACAGGAAACATGTATCATCTAAAAGGAAGCTAAGCACTGACCAGGGTTATCTCCACAGCTAAAAGGGAAAGAAAGTGGAGAGTGAGCAATGGAGGGAAGGAGGCAAGAAGAAAACTCATAATAAATGAAGCATAACTATATCCTTTAGAAGACCAAGGGTCTTGAGGAAATGGTCATACCCAGTACCTGGGTTGCCTTGAACCCAGTCTTTCCCCAAGGCTGACTTTTTAGTGATGATTCATAAAACTTACCTTGGGGTGACGTATGCCAGTCACGTTCACACAGCAGCAGGTTTCCAACTGCACAGACAGGGCTACTTCCTCTCTCATAAGCAGAATTCACTGGAACAAGGAGGGAACATGCCATTCAGTCCTTCTACACTGGACACTAAGGAACATATGATGGCTGAATGTGCTCACAGTGGCTAGGAAGGGTGACCCATACCAAGACTTTGCCTTTGAGGTCCTACAAGACCCAAGGTTAACAACTTGGGAAAAAACTGGATTAAAATAAAAAAAAATCATACAATTAAAACTAGTTCAGGTCTAGAGAGATGGCTCAGTGATTAAGAACACTAGATTCTCTTCCAAAGGATCTGGGTTTGGTTCCTGGCATCCTAGAATGCACATGGCTGCTCACAACCACCTGTAACTACAGTTCTAGGGGATTTGGTTGATGGGTGATATCCTTCTGTGTGCTGTGAATATATGTTTCTCTTATTGGTCGATGAATAAAGCTGTTTCAGCCAATGGACAGGCAGGATTTAGCTAGGTAGAGAAAGGTAGTAGGTGGAGTCAGAGAGATCCCAGGTAGCTGCCAAGAAAGCAAGAGGCCTGGGCATCACCAGTAAGCCAAGACCATGTGGAGAAACACAGGTTAATAGAAATGGGTTAATAATTAAGAGATAACTTTCCATTAAGAAGCCTGAGCCACCAGCCAAACAGTTTATAATTAATGTAAGCCTCTGTGTGTTTATTTGGAACTAAATGGCTATGGGACCAGGTGGGACAGAAACTTCCATCTAGATTAGTGCCCCCCTTTGGCCTCTGAAGGTACTACACATATGTGGTGCACAGACATACATGCAGGCAAAACACCTATATATATATATATAATATTTATAAAACTAATACTTGTGATTGAGCACAAAAACATGCTTATGTAACTGAAAACATTTCACAAAACTGTACTTCACGTAGACTTAACATTTTTTTTTTTTTTTGCTTCAGCTGCTGTTTATTGACATTCAGGTGGGCACGATAGGCCTGGAGATACTGAGGTAGAACAGAAGGTGGCGAGTGGAGTGTGTGTCTGCAGCCACAGCCGAGTGGAGTGCACAAGGAGGAGTGGGGGAGGCCAAAGCAGTTGGGGAAGCAAATCAGGCCCAGGGTCAAGGGTTATCTACACAGGGACCTGGGCCCCATGTCCTAAGCCCCTACTCTTGCTGTCTCCTGACTCCAGACCAGGGCTGAGAGTTCTCTGGGCAACTTTCTACAGGAGCAAAACACACAGAGGTGTTGCTGCCCTTTTGTGATAAAGGCAGAGGATTTCCAATTCTGCATTCCTCCTTCATCCCTAGCTTGGGTAGGGCCATATGATGGACAGCTGGGCTCTAGTCCATGTTTCAAAGGCAGTAATTTTCCTGGGTGTCCCAGCCCACCATCGCCACAGTTTGGCCCAGAGTGAGCACTACAAGCGTTGCTGGCCTAATGGATGGGATGGGGGAGGGGATGGGACAGGGGCTAGAAGAGGGCCTCCAGAGGGCCATCAAGGCACAGGCACGCCACACATGTTGGTGAAGCCAGACACCCAGTAGACTTAACATTTTAAATCTGTTTCACTTTTGTAACTGATTTCACTTGTTAATAAGTTACAAGTGTCATTGAAACTGCTTGTAAAAGTGAGCACAAAGGTTCCTTGAAGCTGTAATGTTTTGTGATCACACATGGAGTAAGTATAGGCCTCATTTTTCTCGGGACAGAGTCCAATCTCTGCATCTGTGTGACAGTGTCACATTGCAATATATGTTTATGCAATCCGTGTTAAAGTGAAAGGCAAACAACATAGAATGCAGGGCACTTTTGAAGGAGACACTGCTAAAGGTTCTAGAACTTCTTGCTTGGGAGTAATTCTCAGCCCTGTTATTTAGCAGCTGTTTGCCCCAGGCATGTTACTTAATACCTCTGAGCCTCAGTGTCTTAATCTGCAGAATAGGGATAACAATATGACTTTTACACAGGATTGCTGGTGGAAGAATCTGTTAAGACACGTGAAATTGAAATAAACCGTGAAGACTGAGTGGGAGAAGGAGACCCACACACCTCCCCCTGGGCGGCCTGTCCCAGGCAGCCAGGGAAAATATGGACCTGCCCAGTACCACAAGGTTGGGCATTATTTTATTATGGTGAGTAAACATATAGTGGGGTAGGAGAGAGACAGACAGAGAGAGAGAGAGAATATGGAGAGAAACTGGTTCATGTCCTGTGCAGGTCTGAAGAGATGAAGGTGGTTAGGAGCAGGCGGTGGAGGGAGGCCTGCTTGTCACCTGAGGCCATGGTGATGTCTAGGCCTGGGCTGCTGCCAAGACCTATGTCTGGGCTTGTGGCCCTACCACAGCCTTGGTCTGTGTTGATTTCCATGGCTCCTGTTACCACGAAAGGCTGAAAGAATATAACTGCACAGAGTTGGCCCCTCCCCTCACTGGCTGCAACACTAGGGAGAACTGGCCCTGCCCCTCACCAGCTATAGCACCGGTAGGGAGGTTCCAAGGGGAGAGGGACTAGGAGATGAATGGGATTGAGATGCATGATCTGAAAGCCATAAAGAATAAATAAAAAGTAAGAAAAAAAGACATGAAATGCTTGAATAAGCCTATAATGCAGTGGACTCCTATACACTAACCATTAACTATTTAGCAAAGATTCCATTTTCCCTACAATGGCCAGCTCCATTCTCTGGGCTCAGTGACCCGACTTGCTTTTTATCAGAGGAATGCAGCAGAAGTGATACTACCATTAGAGACAACATGAGTTTCTGCTTGCTACTCCAGGCTCTTCCAGCTTCTGCCATAGGAAGAGAATGCCCAAAAAGCTCACTGGTCCAAAAAGAAGAACTTTAGATCCAAACAAGACCTGTGACAGGAAGCATGACCCATATCAACCTGGTGCAGTCTTAACCCAGTCTTTCCTGTAGATTGAGTGAAAAATATTTGTTTATTGTATAACTCTTGGTTTGGGCCCAGTGTGATGTCACACAACTTTAGTTTAGTCCTAGCACTCAGGGGGCAGACACAGACAGATCTCTTTTGTGGACTATTTATTTAACTATGCATTTGTTTAACTATGTAAAGATGTGGTGCATTTATTTAACTATGTACAAATTTGTTGCATTTGTTTAATTATATAAAGATGTTGTTTTACCTTGCCTGCCTAAGGCACCTGAATGGTCTAATAAAAAGCTGACCAGCTTGGCAAAGGAGGAAGTATAGGCAGAACTTCCAGGCAGGGAGAGTAAGTAAGAGGAAGAATTTACGCTCAAGGAAGGAAGAAAAGTGGACAACAGGGGCCAGAAAGACAGACACAGAGGAGGCAGGAAAGTAGGATATGCAGAATGAAAGGTAAAAATCCCTGAGGCAAAACATAGATGAATAGAAACAGATTAAATTAAGTTAAAAGAGCTAGTGGTACAAACATAAGCTAAAGCCAAGCATCCATAATTAATAATAAGTGGCTGGGTGGTGGTGGCACACGCCTTTAGTCCTAGCACTCGGGAGGCAGAGGCAGGCAGATCTCTGTGAGTACGAGCCCAGCCTGGTCTACAAGAGCTAGTTCCAGGACAGCCTCCAAAGCCACAGAGAAACCCTGTCTCACCGCCCCCCCCACAAACCAAACCAAAACAAAACAAAAAATGTAATAAATAATAAGTGTCCATGTCTTTATTTGGGAACTGGTTGGCAGCCCAAAGAAAATGTCAACTACAGGTCTGTGAATTCCAGGCCAGCCTGCTCTACAAAGTGAGTTCCAGGATAGTTTCAGAGCTTCATAGTGAGATCCTGTCTCAAAACAAACAAATAAACAATAAAATACCAAATTAAAAACAACCCTCTGAATCTGACACAAGTGACCTGCATGCTGGACCGAGTTTGGTGGCAGGATCTGACACACCGAGGTTTGGTGACAGTTCTGGCTCCAACTGCCAGCCCAGCGGGACCCGGCACGCTCGAACACTGCCGACGCCCGAGTAACAGTGACACCTCCATCCACGAGAAAAGGACCAACATCAGCGTATTGGATCTGTTTGCATCTACCAGAAGAGAACCTTGGTTCCACACCCACCAGGAGAGCAAGAAACTCTTGCTACACTCACCAGAAGAAAGGATGAGAAGAGGACAAGGTAAAAGCACATCCAACAACAGAAAACCCAATATGACACCACCAGAGACTAAGAACCATACACCAGCAAGACCTGAACATCACAATGCAGATGAACCAGAAGAGAATGACCTTAAAAGCATCTTCATGAAAATGATAGAGGACCTCAAAGAGGATATGAGAAAATCCCTTAAAGAAATGGAAGAAAAAACAAACCAAAAAAATACAAGATATCAATAAGTCTCTCAAGGAAAGAGTTCAAGACCTAAAAACTGAAATAGAGACAATAAAGAAAGCACAATC